GATTAGTCCTCTCTTTCCTGGTGGATAAACCTCTCGGCCATGCTGCTGATGTGCTCCAGCTGTGAGGATCTACCAGYGCTTATAGAAACCTTGAGGGCCACGGATTTGTTCGGGGACTCTAGGCAAACAGATAAGATCTAATTAATTGTTGTATGTGCTTTAAATTGTTTGATCACACTGTGCTAGGTAGGTAATGACCAGAACCACTGAAAGATTGCAAGATTAAGGCTCTTTGCTTGCAGAGAAATTTGGGAGGAAAAATCTGGGCAGATGTCTGATGCATTCACTGTCTCTGCATGTATTTGTAAACAGAGCATGGAAAATGAAAACACATAAAATGGTTCTCGGAAATGTMGTGGAGAACAGGAAAGTTAAAGAGCGGCTCCAGAAGAGAAGGAAGATGCATGGAGGAGGCCTCTTCCGTGCCTCTGCTTCCTCTGGGAACTCCTTTATTTAAAAAAAGGGATGCATGGAGACCTGCTATCTTACATTAAATGTGAATCAGAATTTGCATACGATGACTACCCCTGAAACGCTGCCAAGTGGCACCTTTGTTCTTTTCATCATCACTTTTATTTCTATTTTCCCACTCTTCCCTCCGCTCGCTGCCTATTGCTTTTTTTGAGGTCGGGTTCTGGCTTGCGGGGTATCTGCCGCTCTCGCGCTCGCGGCGAGGGCAGGATGTCACCCTGCGCCTTCCGCGTTTGTCACATCCTCCCTCTCCCAAAGACACCCGATTTTCTGTCCTCCCGTCCCACCTGCTCTCGGCAGAGTTTGCTCTTTTGCTTCTCCTCCCGTCCTTGACGTATCTGCTGCCGACTCCCGCACCCGGCTCCTGCTCCGGACCTTGTCCGGGAGGGAGCAGGAGGAGGGATCTCAGCACGGCACCAGGAGAGGACTTGGTCCTTCTCCTGGTGGCCAAAGGACCTGCTGTTCCTGGGCTGCACTTTGATCCTGCCCATCCTGCCGGATTACATTGCTGCCGAGCAAGTGACTTTGTCTTGTTGATCATATACCTGCAAAAACACCTAGGTCTTTTTGCTATGCCCATCACTTTGGCACATTCCTGCTTATTTTTCCTCTCTGTGGATTTACCTCTCTTTTTCTTTATTTTTTTCTCTTCTCTCTGCTTGTATTTCTTATCCTTCCAGTCCTTGTCCCGAGCTTCCTCCCCRTACATTTGATCATCTTCAGCGCTCTTCACCGACTCTTCCACCTTCTCCTTTGCTCACACTTCTCCCTCCCTTTTTTTTCCCCCAAACCCACTGGAAACAGCTCCAACCCAACAGCACCGCTGGGTGACCTCAGCCTGTGKATGCTCCTCTGCGGTGACACGGAGCAAAGTGCTGGAGGTGGCACCTGGACTCACCTGCCATCTCCTGGCATCCCCAATGGTGACCAGGGATGGTCGCGTTTCTTCCCGTGTCACTTTGGGAATGATCCGGGAAAGTTGCCTGAGAAAGACAAATGGCAGAAAGAAATCGGAGACTGAGCAGAAAATCTGCAGCCCCACTCATGTGTGGGTTGCTCTTTGGGAATGTATATTATTGCACAGGGATGACATAATATTGCAACTTCTTTTTTTATTTTTTTGCTCTAATTCATTTGACCCTTTTTTAACTCTGGGCGTTCACATGATGTCTTCAGCCGTCCCATCTGGAAAGCATTTTACCCAGGCGGGATCTGCAGGCTTGGAGGATYGTATAGGGTGAGATGCGGGGACAAGGAAGGGAGGAGAAGGCTGCTCGTGTGTCGGTTTGTTGGAGAGGGGGCAGTTGTGTGTTTTGGGGTGACTCCTGGGGCCGGAGCGGGCAGGGGGTGTTTAGGCCGCGCTCGCCTCCTTGGCAGCCGCTTTTGCAGCTCCATCACCTCAAGAAGCTCTGCAGGGTCGGAGCACGGAGGGACGCGTGCAGCCCGTGGTGCAGCCCGGGGGGCGTTTGGCCGCGTTCCTGGTGCCGGAGCCCGCAGGTGCCGGCGCCCCGCGCGCCGCCCGTCCCGGCAGCGCCGGCCAGAAGGATCTGGAAGCGCCGACATCTGCTTCGCGTTGGGCCGCGGCAGGTTGCGCTGCCCTTCCGGCCCCCCCGGCGCCGCCTTTCATCGCCCCCRCATGTGGCTCCACTTAGGGACCCGCGGTTCCTGCCGCCTCCGCCGGCATCTGCTGCCCGCGCTGTTGGAGTGTCCCCCGAGCCCCCCGCTCCCGTTTGGGTCTGGGGGGCGCAGCGGTGGCGCAGCACCCAGCGGCTCGTCCTCGCCATGGCCCGGCTGGAAGGGGGGCGCACGAGGTGTCCCCAGCTTTGGGGGCTGGGGGGGCTTCCCACTTGAGTGTGCTCCAGAAGGACCCCGGCCCTGGGGCAGAAAGACCAGGAAAGCAAAGCTGAGCATCCCGCCAGGAAGGGTCGGGGCTCCTTGGGGTGCAGGATGTTCCCAGGGAAGGGAAGGAGAGGCYGGTGGGATGAGCTGCTGCCGGGACRTCCAGGGCACGGCTCCTGGGCACCTGCGTCCTGCCTGGGTCCCAGCGGGACCCCCGGAGCCTGGGGTCCCCCGGCTGCTCCGGCTGCGCGGGGTGTCGGAGGCTCCTGCGGAGCTGGTGGCCCCAGCGCCCAGCTCTGCTGTCCAGCAGTGCTGTGGCCCCTGCCCCTTGGTGATGTCCCTGTGCTTCCATGGGTGCTCTCCTGGAGCTCTGCAGTCCAGAGCGGCTCCGGCAGCGCTTTGGGGGTCTCCAGGCTGCTGGCCGATGGCCTGGCCATCCCAGCCCTGTGAAGGGGGGTGCCCCATGGCATGTGGCCCTGTCGCTGCTTGCCTGTCACCTTGTGCCGCCTTCAGGACCCTGCGTAGGGCCAGTTGTGCCGAGGGCTCCGGGAGCACCCCGGCTCCCCTCTCCCGGAGCTGCAATTCATGGAGGGGGAATCTGAGGTCTTCCAGCTGCTGTGCAGGGGCCTTGGGAAGTGTGGGATGGAGCAGGGAGGTGAGAGGGAAGCCTCCAGTGTCCCTGTGCTGGGACACCTGCCCCAGCTGCTGCCCCATGGCCGGGATGGAGCAACGGGGGCCAGGGTCCCTGCTGTGGGAAACCCAGGCTCCGTGCATGGAATGGGCATGGGAACCCTGGCTCYGTGCATGGAATGGGCATGGGAACCATGCATGGCACAGATGCAGGGAACACGGGCTCCGCGAATGCAATGGATGTGGAATCCTGGCTGCATGCATGGCAGAGATGCAGGAAGCACGGGTTCCATGCACCCGGGTTGCAGGGTTCCTGCGTGCAGGAAACACCAGCTCTGCGCATGGTGCACATGGTGCTCATCCCTGCTGGATCAGCACTGCTGGAGACCCACTCAGGAGCCCTCAAATGGCAAAAAAAGGAAGATTTTGAAATACAGTCTTAGTAGAATTCAGAATGAGAGTGAGTTCAGGAGGACGAGGTGACCTTGCAGGGATGCCGCAGGGGACACAGGGGATGATTTCTCCACGTGTGCGGGTAGCTTCTCTTCCCAGAGCAGCTCCACAAACCTCCCGTGCACGGCAGAGCCGTTTGCTGAACTTCAGGAATCCCGTTAAGATTATTGACACCTGTAAAGCTGTGGTGCATTTCTGCTGGAGCAGGAGGGGGCTCGGCGCATCCGCGGCTCGCTCCCGTCCTGGTGGGTGACACCACGTTACCGTTCCCAGCCATGGTCAGGGTATATATATACATATATATATATTTGTTTTGTGGAAAAAAGGCACAAGGAGATGCGGGACGGTTAGTCCATTGYATGTCCATGCAGTTGGCCAGTTATTGCCACAGCCATCCCTGGGATGCAGGGGAGAACCAACCCGCAGACTTTWAGTGGGAGAGGTGTTTCCATGCCCGCTCCCAGCCAGTGTCACGCAAACCTTAGTGTGGCCTGGCAATAAGGAATATTTGCAACAAAAGAGTGGCTCTTTTGATGGAAATGCAAGATCTGAGAATGAAAACAAAACATCCCGCTCGCCTCCCGCCCGGTGCCGGGCGCTGCCACGGGCGGCTCATCCCTGCCGTGGCTCTTCCCGGTGCCGGCGCTCCCGGCTCGCGCGCCGCCGCCGCCGGAGCGGGCTCCCTGCCAGCTCCGCGATCCGCTGCCTGCCGCAAAATGGAGGCAGGAAGGTATCCATTTTCATCGGGAGATGACAGTGCCGCGCTCTTCCTGACCATCTGGAGAGCGCGGCTTCCAAGCGCGGCGGCTCTCCGGAATTCCGGGGCGCACCGCGACGCAGCGGAGAGGGGATAAATTGAACGGGGCCGCTGCTGTCCCCGTGGGTCTGAACATGCACGGGCTGGCATGTGCGGGGCGAGCTCTGAGCCCCGTGCATTATAAATAAATGGGGGTAAAAGAGCTTTTTGGCAGGATTTCTTGCACGCCCCAATGCAGTGAGTGCTGGCGAGGCCGCTCACCCCACCGTGCACGCGCTGCCATCCGGGTCCTGCAGCCTCCGGCTTCCGAATCAGCCTCTTGGGAAGGAGCTGGGAATCGGGGAATTCAGTCCCCCAAAACACGTTTAGAMTTTTCACTGTTCCCGATGATGCCATTTTCTAAATTTCCTTTTCTCTCTTTTTTTTTTCCCCTTGGTGGGGGAAGCGATGACTTGGACGTCCTTGCACTGCTTTCGGTTTTGTTCTTAGATGTGTGAAGTCTGCCTACTCCCATTTAAGAAAACCAGTATTGTCTCAAGTTCTGGTTTATTTTTGGCTCCTTAAAGCGCAGGGAGGAACATATGTGCGCCTACTTATTCATTTTATTTACAGAAATACATACTTTGACAAACACCTTGCAAATACCCTTGTTTAAAGCTGGAAAATGTCACGCTGGAGTTTCTTTTGAAGCTTAAAATTTATTTTCTAGTCACACATGTACTGGGGGTTTTGTATTCTGAGAGAAGAATTATGTAGTGTTGTGAACTGATTTATACCGAGCAAGGTAAAAACTCAATATTTCTTTCCTGCTTCCTGCTAAAGGCATACTAAATTAGCCTTTTTTCCTTAGGTTTATGCCCCGTCAGCAAGCACTGCCGACTACAATAGGGATTCACCAGGTTATCCATCCTCAAAACCAGCAGCCAGCACTTTTCCTAGCTCCTTCTTCATGCAAGGTAAGATGCTGCTTTCAAAAAAAGAAATCTCTTTTGCATACATTTTCTGTGTTTGTATTTTGGTTTATGTGCAGCCGAGACAGACAGGAATATCATCCTGCGGTCTGCAGCATTACCATTAAAATGAAGACCTGTAAGTTTTCGTTTGATCATTATGTCTCTGAACATCTTGTTTTGATCCTGCAGTGAAACAGGATAATGAATAGCTTGCCAGGTCCTTATCGTTTGAGTTACTGGGAGCAGTTTTTCCAGCATGTGTGTGCACATATATTATGCATATACGAAATGCACCTGAATTCATGCATGTATTTTGTGCAGTGTTGTTTTTATGCTAACAAGAAAGATTCTATTTTATATAAAGCATGCATAGCTGTACGTTTATATGTTGCCTATGGAATTACTGCAACCTTGTAAAAATTAATTCATTAAAAATGTAAGCACATCCTTGCTCACATTTGAGAGGGAGTTAGTAGTTGTTATGTGTTCACTGCTACTGTGTTGCATTTCTTGCAAGGATTGCATGCAACTAAGGTGAAATTCCATATAACTTGGAAAATAAAATTCCAAGGATTTGAAAGCCACCACCTAGAAGAGACCTGCTCATCTTCTGCCACGTTTAGAGCACAATAGTTACCTTTTAAATGCTTATGCATACACTTAGCTTTGGGCAGACGAGTGGTTCAGGAGGCTGGAGTGTGCGCAGGACGAGGATTAGGTTCTGCTCTGCCCGTCTCGGGTTCCCAATTCCCGCCCGGAGGAAGCAGGGAGCGCTGGCTGCATGCCGTGGGCACTGCCGTGTCCCCGCAGGACAGCTCAGCGGGGCCCCTTCCTCCCCGGTGTCTTCAGGGCAAGAATGCTTCAGGGCAAGAATGCTCTTCTCGCATTTAGGCTRCAGAGCTCTAGGTGTAGAGCTACACCTAGTCTAGACATAGATCTACACCTAGACCTCTGCAGCAACGACCCTGGAAGCCGGGGCAGCAGCTCAGAATAAAATGATACTTAAAGCAGAAATACGAGCACTTCAAGAGCAAAATATTACGAAACTCCTACAGCCTTGCAGAAATTTCTGTGATATTTCAGGTTTCTAGTGATGTTAAGTATTTCTTCCTTGCAAAGCAATGCATTGCATGTTTCTAGGTGTTCTCCTCTGGCAGGTTCGTGCCGATGACATAAATCTCCTCAGGTGACCGTGCAAACAGCCAGGGAAGCGGCGGTGCTGCCAGGAGCCTTGAGGGAGATGAATAAGGCCGCCTTGGAGCTGAGACATAATCATTTTTTATTAGACCAGCTCTCGTAGCTTGAAAAGAGCTGACAACTTTTCCAGCCCACATGCCTTTCTTTGAGGTCTGCTGATCATTATGGAAAAGTTTCCTTTTTTAAGAAAAACATTAAAATTGTGGCATTCTTCCAGTAGAAAGTATTTTTCACAGGATTATTATAACTCCATCTCAAAGTAGGTAGTTAAATGCAAAATGCCCAGTGAGCTCCTTCACTTGGGGAATACTGTTTCTTAGATTTTAGTGCGAATTGCCCCTTGACATTTGGTAAACGGGAGGATGCTCTGCACGTGGGGTGCAGAAGCAGTGAAATCCCTAGGAGAAGACTCCATGCAGCTGCTGGTACTTTGGTTTTTCTTCAAATTAAAAGAAACCAGACAACCAAACCATCCAAACAAGCAAGCAAAAGAACAAAAAAAAAAAAAACTTAAAGAACTCTCCGGATTTGGAAAAAAAAATTGAAGTTCAGGACATCTCAGATTATAACCGACTTAAAGCAGTGTCTGAAGCTCCATTTCCCAGACCAGTCCTCCCTGAGCTCCATCCCTGCTTTAGGAGGATGCTCCAGCGTGTCCAGGAGCAYTTACGGTTGGACTTGGTGATCYTGAAGATCTTTTCGAAGCAGGCGCGGGTGGCCCTGGATGCAGTTGCAGCAGCAGGGCCCACCCGAGCGGCATCCCGAGGCATCAGGAGGTGGTTTCTCCCTGTGTTGCAGATGGCCATCACAGCAGCGACCCGTGGAGCTCCTCCAGCGGGATGAACCAGCCCGGCTACGGAGGGATGCTGGGCAACTCGTCGCACATCCCTCAGTCCAGCAGCTACTGCAGTCTGCACCCCCACGACCGCCTGGTACGACGGGCAGCGGGATGCGGGATGCGGGATGCGGGTGCGGGAGGGATGCTCCGCGTGCCCCGTGCGTCCTTGGGAGGCATTGCTGTGTCCCCGGGTACCAGCAATGAGGTGCTCTCTGGGCATCCTTGTGTGTGCTCAGGCATCCTTGGGTGCTTTTGGGCATCCTTGCTGGTGCTTGGTCATCCTTGTGTGGTCTTAGGCATCCTTGTCTGCTCTTGGGCAACCTTATGTGGTCTTGGGCAACCTTATGTGGTCTTGGGCAACCTTGTGTGCTCTTGGGCAACCTTGTGTGCTCTTGGGCATCCTTGCTATTGCTTGGGCATCCTTGTGTGCTCTTGAGCATCCTTGTGTGGTCTTGGACATCCTTGGGTGCTCTTGGGCATCCTTGCTGGTGCTTGGGCATCCTTGCTGGTGCTTGAGCATCCTTGTGTGCTCTTGGGCATCCTTGGGTGGTCTTGGGCAACCTTATGTGGTCTTGGGCAACCTTGTGTGCTCTTGGGCATCCTTGCTGGTGCTTGAGCATCCTTGTGTGCTCATGGGCATCCTTGCGTGCTCTTGAGCATCCTTATGTGGTCTTAGGCATCCTTGGGTGTTCTTGGGCCTCCTTGCTGGTGCTTGGGCATCCTTGCGTGCAATCAGTGGTGTGTTGTCTTTAGGAACAGAAGAAAAATGGAATTAAGCCTGTCTTGAGCAGAGCTGAGGGTTCATTTGGCCATGGAGCAGTGAAGSTGAATTGCATCCGTTCAGTCTTCTGGAGGAGGGTTCTTTGTTTTGGTTTGCTTTTTCTTTTGCTAAAGGAGGAGGCAAAGAACAGACTGCTAAAACGGAAGGCATTTTTCTCAAAACGTATGCAGTTTTAAAAGTAATATTTTCCCATTTCGCACTTCTCCTTCTGGAAGACCACTGAAGAGGAGAGGAAGGAGTAGTGCTRGTTTTAAGGGAGGAAGCTCTTGCTTTAAAGTTAGCAGAAACTTCCTTTGAGGAATTAGGAAAAAAAAATAAATTCAGTTTTGCAAATTGAGAATTAATTTGCAAAACAAATTTTTTTAAATCTCGAATGTAATGAGGTTAGCACAGTGCTATGTAACGCTAATAGGAAGTCAAAAGCAAAAGAAATTGCCTCAAAAACTGCTTAATCATGTCCTTATAAAAAGGCATAATTAGGGCACTAAGCAAATTTAACACTGCTCTGAAGTGACAAGCATATATTACAAAACTGAGCATACCTTTAAAACCCAATTTAATCTAATTTGTTATCTGCGCGGATCCCCATTCATCAGAATTAGGTGGCTGTTGCATGGCGTGAATTCAGGGGAGAACTAAGACTCCGAGGGCCTTGAGCGTGCGAGGCTGGGACCTGTGCTCCTCCAGGTGGGCCTCCATCCCGGCCTCCCTGGGACACGGAGGTGTCCCAGCTTTTCTCCCTGGGATGGGACGGTGCAGGGCCGAGCTCTGGTCCTGATTATTTTTTTCACGGGCATATTAGCAGTTGCCCAAGCAGAGCCTTCGCATGCAAGGAGCAATGCTCACATCCCGTGTTCCTTTCCTCTGAAGTATTTGGCAAGAGCGCTGAGCTTCCTTCCCCGGGGAAGGAGGGAATCACGAGACGCTGTCTCGGTTTGGGTCGTGGAGCAGAGCTCAGCCGGGGTGGAAACACTGGGATGGTCGAAGCCCTTCTGCCTCCCGCGCCGCCGTCCCCAGCACATCCCACTCGTGTGTGCAATTCCAGCCGCTTGGATTCAGGGCGGGAGGCCTGGGCTGCCTTAGAAATGAGTCAAAGCCTCAAATCTCCAGTCAGGGTTGGCAGCAGTTTTCTCATGGGTAGGAAAAGCAGAGTTTGGCTTATGTTTGCTTTTTTTTTTGATAAAACTTCCAAATATCCTGTAAGTTTTAAGTAAAAAAAAAAAAAAAAAAAAAATCCTGCAAAATTAAATAACGCAAATGAAGGAAAAGACACTTTTTAGGCAGCTTAATGTGAAGCCCCCAAGGAGGCAGGAGGTACCAGGTGATGTTGCACTGAAATCACCAAGTCTTGCTCCCAGGCTCGGTGCCCTTCAGTTACTGGTATCCAGCAGCCTCTATTTCCAGGGAGCTCTTCCAAGGAGAGTCTCCAAAGCCCGAGCTCTCCTGCACGACCTCCTCTTCCTGGAAGCAGTGCTGCGATGGAGATAGGAGCGGGGCATGTTCCGGCATGTGTCAGCACACAGTGCCTTCCGCTGATGGAGAAGGGGCTGTTTAGCAGTGACAAAGCCAGGCTCGTGGAAGCCAGGCTCATTGGAATGTAGGTTCAGCAGCGCTGTAACCGCAGCAGGGGATGAAGGGGGCTGTGTCCCGGGGATGAAGGTCTGCGTGGATGCAGCTCCCAGCGTCTCCTGGGGTTATCCAGGCGCTCGCTCCAACAGCTCCATCCATCACCTTGCCCTGATTGCCTGAGACACCTCAGCGGGGATGGGTGCAGGAGGGGTGTGGGGCCAGCCTCTCCTTGCAGCACCTTTAAATGCCAAATGCAGGAAGGGCTCCTACTCCTTCCTCCAGCAGTAGCCGTCCTTGCCGCAGTGTTTCTCTCGTTCCTGTTATTTCTGCAGTTTCATCATCCATTAGGAGTTTCCCCTGTAGATGTGTAGGACGCTCAGTGCACGTTATACATGTGCGATGCGCCCAGGTGTCTGGTGTGCCATGCAGCTCTTCCCGGTGACACCGGGCTGCTTTCCCTGTTGGGTGAAGTGCTGCGGGGTTGGAAACGGTCTCRGTGTTTGAAACGTTGCCATCCTTTCCTTTTTCCATCCTTTCCTTTTCCCCCTTCCCGCCGCGGCGGCCGCAGAGCTACCCATCGCACTCGTCAGCAGACATCAACTCCAGTCTTCCTCCGATGTCCACCTTCCACCGCAGTGGCACCAACCATTACAGCGCGTCCTCTTGCACACCCCCGGCCAACGGCACCGACAGCATCATGGGTGAGTGTCCCGCRGCGTTCCCGGCGCTCCCGGGGCTCCGCAGCCTCCTCCCGGCACCCCAGCACTGGAGTCGAGGTGCAGAGCAATGAGGGGTAGGGAAGGCTGCTGCTTGCCTCAGTAGATCTGGAAAGATGGGAAAATTTTCATTGGAAATAAATACTTTGGGCATGACCTTTGCCTCCCTTGCCTTATGCACTTAGTGCTTCTTTGAGGCTTAATATGAAAATGCAATATTCAACGGGGCGAAGTGCTCCCTTTCAAAGTCTGCATGGGATGCATTACGCTCACCAAGTGCTTGATCCGGCTGGTTTTGAAGTCTAATTTTATTGTCTTTAGGCGTTTAATCCCCGGCAGGGCCCTGTGAAGTGATACCTCCCTGCTCTGCCGCGACGCCCCTTCCCTTCGGTTTTAACGTGGTTCTCACGTTGCGGGGAAGGGGACCGGCCACGGCACCGTGTCCTCCTCCTCCTGACGTTACTGGCACTGCCCTCACCAAATTAACAGCACACATCTGCACGCTTTCCTAAATATTTGGCAAATACCGGTTCATACTTAAATACAGGAAATAAAGAAATACTGCTTTGCCTGTATCTCAAAGAACACATAAAGCTAATTAAATAATTGGTAAATAGGGAACACATCATTTGACACATGTTTCAGATTACACACATGATTCTGTATTGAATGACTGCGAGCAGGACTAATGCAGTAAGAATGGAGGGTGGGTTCAAGCATTAACACATGGGCATCATATTTTTCAAGGTCTCTGAACAAAGAAGAAACTAAATACAGTCTCTTCTTAATTTATCACTGTCTGAGAAAAACGTATCCCGTTGCAGTGTAGTATTTCTGTGCTCAATCTTGCCATTCCATTGAGAATTCTTCCTTTTCGGTGTATTACTTTTCCTGTGTGCGTGACACAAAAATCACTCACTCTCTTTCTCTAAAGGAGCCTAATAGAGTTAAATTTAATTGATTTAATTCATCCTTTTTTTTTTTTTTTTTCCTTTGAACACTTGTGTAGAAGCCTTACAGATAACCAGACAACATTTAGGGATGCAAAATTTTGCAGGGCGCTGGAAGCAGGTAGCAGTTTCAATGCGGGCTCCTGACTGAGCCACCACTAAAAACGTCTAAATTTCCCCTGCAAAAACAAATTACCTATTTTTTTTCTTCTGGACCCATCTGCTGAAAGTCCCACTATGAGAATAAGAATTGCAAGGGGCGCGATGCAAACACGATGGATTTTTGCACAGCTGCAAACGTTCAGCAGGGCTAGCGTTGGTGTGCGGCTCGGCTGAAGGCTGCAGGAGCGTTTCTGGGATCTGGGAGCGCACGGAGCAGGGCTGGAGAAGCGAGCGGCAGGGAGAGCCTTCCTGCAGGCTGCAGGACGGTGGTCGACCCTCGTCCAGGTGCTGCTGATGCCCCAGGTGTGGCCCATGGGGATGCTGAAGCAGCTGGCGCCCCAGGGTGATTCCTGCAGCATTAATCCCGCTTGCTGCTTTCCAATGCAGTGAGCGTTTTCCAAGTGTTTTCCAATGTGTGGCGTGGTGCAGTGCGCCCCGTGGCTTTTCCAGGGGAAACCTGTTCTTCTACCCAGCGGTGCCAGTTCCTCGGAGTTTGGGAGGATCGCCAGCTAGGAATACCAAGGTGGTGCAAGTTTTTCCACTCTCTTTTACATAGAAAGCTCCCTTCCAGACTGCTGTTTTGCACCACAACAGCAGGAGTTTGTGCTAGAATTTAAAGACTAAAAACTCTGCCTGGAATCTCTAATAGATGGCTCCGACCTATCAGTTACACCAGATACTTTGCTAGATATAATTACACCGATTCAGACTCAGATTCCTGGAAGTTTATTCAATAATCTTAAGATTTACAGTCAGAATTGCACCAGCATGATGTGAGAAGGGCATCACTCAGTCCATTTTCCTTCCAATGCATGAGGAAAGTTCCGAGATTAAGCCTAATAGTTAGCGTGCCCTTCAGCAGGGTTAGCATCGATCCATCACAAGGCTGCAGTCTTTCATGGTGCCTCCAGCACATTAATAGCTCGGTGAGTGGGAGAGCAGCTTGAAAGGAGAAGTCACAGCTCCTGGGAGGCGTTTTCAGGTCCTGATTTGCAGCGGAGGAGTCTCGTTTCCGAGTAAGCTCCCCGTTGTGTCCCAACAAACCTTGCTGATGCCTCGCATCGGTGGAGACTGGTCCTCTGGGAGCCTGGAGATCATTGGGTCACCTGTGCGTAGTTGTCTCCTGCCTCRGACCTTTGCTCATCATTAATTTATTAATCAAAACCTTTCTGGAAGTCTGGATTTGACTACTTCAACTCAATTAAGCGCAGTCCGGAAATGTTTGGGATAAACTGTCCCCTTCCAAATTTGAGCGGGTTTCATAGCGTTCCTTGCGCTAAGTTGTTCAGAATGTTTTGCAGAAGAACTTAAAAACAGCTGTCCTGCTTCAGAGCGAAAGCTCGTCTTCCCCACGCTCCCGTCCCCAGCAGCCTGGAAGGATTTCCTTGCAAGGAATACAAAACCAGAGCAAACATATGCGATATTTTCCCAGCCATTTCCCACTCAGGAGCTGCCTGAGCTGGGTGGAATTAGGAGCATTTAAGAGCCTCAGACTCTCTTCTTCTCCATGAGCTCATCCACTCTGTCCTTGAACGCGCCCAAGCTTGCAGCATCCCTGACATCTCTCGCAGACACATCCTGCAGGGTGATGATCCCATGCACCATCGAATCACATTGTGATTGGAAAAGACCTCAGGATCATCGAGTCCAACCGAGCGCAGTTAGCAGGGGTCTGTGCCAGACCCAGCTCTTCCCAGCTTACCTGCTGTGCCCAACCAGCAAACCAACCCAACCCAGCCCAACCTGTCACTTGGCTTTATGGACTTGGCCCTCTTCAGCCTTAAGACCTGCCGTCTGCTCATGTCTGGGAGCTCCTTGCCTACCCAGCACAGCTAAATTCAGCATGGGTGCCCAAGAACCTCCATCCACCTCTTGTTCAAAATGCTTCCTTAGGTCTTACAAGGTCCTCGCAGGGTCTCGTGCTGTCAAGAGCAGCGAAGAGCTCCCACTCCACGTTAATCATGATTTTGGAACCTACATCACATCCGCTGCAGTTGTCCCTTCTCCAGGCTGGAGAACCCTTGCTAGCTTGGTTCCTCCTTTGAGCCCACCTCAAGCATCTTTGTCATCTTGTCACATAGTCTTTTTTATAGACCTTGATGCTCTTTTTTGATGGACCTAGCAGCTCTTTGCACTGTGTTGAAATATGCACGTGCAGAAAGCTTCTGTAGTGCCACAATTTTGTGTGGTCTGGGTTCTTTGTGCTGTATTCCTTAGCTCTTGAGGTTTTCAGAGTGTGTTTGAGGGCTTCTGCTGCTTCCCAGAAAGCTGATGTCTTCCAGGAATTATCCACCACAGCCCCCAGAGTGCTTACGAGTCCCCCCATGTGTTTTTATAGTGTGAGGCTCCATTTTCTCTGTATTCATCCCCCTCTGTTTGTCAGCACTGCTCCATGCATGGCCTTCACACATGGTCGTGCTACAAGAGCAGCTCTCCATGGACAAGCTTATATTTTATTATCCCTAATATATTTTTATCCTTGATAAAACAGTACGACCACAGGATATGTCACCTTTGTTGTGCAGCCCTACCTGTGTAGACTGAGCAGGATAGACCCGTGCACGGGGATTTGCTGACAATATCCCTACATTGTAAAGTCAACCAGTGCTTCTCACCCTTTTCCATCTCTTAATCACTTTTTAATCTGTAGAAATATCTTCCTTCCCTGTTATCTGGAGGCAATCCAGTGTMTTTGAGAGCCTCTGCAGGGAGATTTTGCTGGACACGTCCTGGGAACGCAAGCAGGATTTGCTGGATCCCTTGTTTCTCCCCATACCTCTGGAAGTCTAAGATTCGCAAGACTTGATTTCCCTCCAGAAAGCAGATTTGATGGCTCTCTGAATTCGGARTTCTTGGGTTTTATGTTGGTGTCATGTTTTCTGTGTTGTTCGCTCCAGCCCTACATTGGACCACGCAGTGGGTTTCATGGTGCAACGGGAAGTTAGGCAATGTTGTATCTGGATTTCTTGAGAACTCTTTGAAGTGTCATTTAGCTCTCTTTCTTTTTTCTTTCTTTTTTTTTTTTTTTTTTTTGCATTTTTCTTTTCATTTGCATATTTTAAAGCCTTTACGTTGACACTTCAGCTGGAGCCAATTTTTCTGTGTATTTCCTTGTAAACTCCCACTTGTCCCATGGACAAGGCTGGTGAGAATGATCTGCTCGGCATTTCTGCTGTGACCTTTTCTCCTTGCATTGTCGTATTGCATCTTGCTCACCTGCAGGTCCTTGCAGCTCCATATCTTGGTCCCTTCTTTTGATGGACTGGGAAAACTTTAACTATTAGCTTTTAAAAACTGCTCTTTTCAGATATTTTTTGTTCCTATRTAAATGTAAATTGCACTGAATGGACACCTAAGCCCATCCATTTTACTCGACCAGCACATCTTCTGGATATCTTTCAGAAGCCTAAAATGAAGCAGATTTTGGCTGGGAAAAAAGGAAGCATTTATTTATTTTTCATTTCTGCATGCTGGTGATGCTTTGCAGAACGCAGCCTGTCCGTTGGACCTGCAGCATATTGCTCGCTGTATTTAAACAGTGTTTCRCTGAAGTCAGGAGGGAAAGGATGGACCAACAACTGTTAGATAAAAATAGAAGCTCTTGATAATATCCCACAGTCATTCCCTGTGTAAAACAGCGTGATATGGTGCCTTCTTCTGCAGTGATAGCATGGATTAGATTTTCTGATAGTTGAGGTCCATTCTCTATTTAGGTGGTCCCTAGAAAACAAATTATTTTGTCCTGGTGCTTCCAAAATCTTCAGGTTCATTGATCACAGTCCCCGCTGTGTCTCCTCTCAATGTGTTTTTCTATTCCTCCTGCAATTTTTGCTCGTAGGCCCCTCCTGTTTTCGGTCCTAGCTCTTGCATTGCACATGCGTTCCCGTACAAAACCCCGGCGGTGCGAGAAGTGAAAGCAGACAGAGGGGTCAGCTGCCTCTTAGGGACCTTACGGCAGCAAGTTGCTCCATTTGACTGGACAACAAGAGGAAAAATGCATTTTTTTCCCCATTTTTTTAAGAGAGCAGCATGCATAACCATGCATTTTGGGAGAGGAGCGTGCACAGAACCTGCTGTGCGACGGGCTGCTCCGCACCGGCACTATCCCGCTCCTCATCCCGTGCTCCGTGCACCTCTGCTCCTGCGGAAGCAGCCTGGGCCCGGCTCTATGTGCTTTCCAGGCCTCCCCTCCTCATTTGCCTTCAAAGTCTCCCGTGCAAAGTTTAATATTCGGGATAGCCGAGGAATCCCTTTGTTCTTAGCGGCCGCTCTCCTCCTGCTCCCCAGGCAAATGCACATCTTATTTTTAAAGTCACTTGGAAAAAGGGGGAAAAAAAACCCACCATGCTTTACATTTAGATTCTGAGATTTACATTTAGATTTTAGATTTGCATTTAGAGCTAGTCACTCAGTTTCTGGACGTCTGCCTCGTATTACCCAAATTGCAAACCTTGAGCTTAGGGTTTGCAGTGTTAGATGGGTCTGGTGAAGTCGCATCCCCAAGTGATGCCCCGTTTTCCCTTTCTTTACCTTTGCATTTCCCAGGTGCTAATCCGTAATATCTTGGCGTTTTCCACAGTGGCTCAGCAAAGCAAATCCTAAATGTAAAATATCTCGGGGAGCTAATTTCAAACTGAGCCAACAAATGAACAAAGAACACTGGCATATAAGCTTATTTCCAAGTGTGTGATAGTAACAGAGAAAGTATAACTGAAAGAAAGGAAAAATGGGAGCAAGTGAGGAGCTGAGCAAGCCCTGCTGTACAAAATAAGTCGGAAAGCTTGGGATTATAGCAATTTGAAAAGGTTGTTATAAAGCATTCCAGTACAGGAGAAGTACTGAAAGGCCAGAATGTTATGTAGTCAAGTTAAATGTAAAGTTTTTCCTTTTCTTAATTGGAAMATTTTCTTAATTAGAATGAGAAAATTTTCTTAATTGGAATGAGAAATTTTTCTTAATTAGAAAATTTTCTCAAATGGAAAATAAATCTTCCTTTTCTTAAATACATTACCATGCGTGTTGCAAATGGGAAGTGGCAGGAGAACCGAGACCTGTGCCGTTCTCCCGACCCGTCTCTGCCGGAGCCGCTGCTAGGAACACATGAGCAGGKTGGAGGCCATTCCCAAGTTAGGAAAATAGGGGATTTGAAAGGCAGCATGAGCCATTTTCCAGGTGTCTTGCAGAAAAAGTGTCTCGCAGCCATGTGGTTCTCTCCACACTGGGCTTCGTGGTGCAAGTCCTCATAGTTTGGTGACATTTTACATCTCTTCACCCGAGCAGTGGGGACCTCCTGGCCRTGCAAGAACAGAGCAAAAAAAGGTGCAGTATTTTTAAAATAAAGAAGGTGCCTAAAATGAAAAACAAGCAAAAGAAAACACAGGTCCAAGCTCCAGGTGCTGTTTGTTTCTCATTTTCTAGGGGCCCAACGTAGTGTCCTTTGGGGCCAAAGCAGGAATATTGATCGCCCGCAGTAGGCAGTCCAAGCTGTGCTTTCCATGTATAAATGGATACGTAGGTGCTGAGTGTTCTGGAAAGAGAAAATCGGTGGGCTGTTCTGCCCTAATTTTTCTTTCCTTCCATTTTTCACATGAACGGAGAAGTTGCGATCCTCTTGTTTGAGAGCAAGAAATTGGTAAAACATTTTACCCCAATTTTTCTTTCTTCTGGTTTCTCTTATCAGAAGTGCAATCCCATTGCCTGTGATGGTGAAAAATCATGAAATCAGATATTCATAAAGTATTGAAATACTTTATGAAAATTCCCTTCTGGCTAGGAACACTCTGGGAATCGATAATGCCAATAAAATGTGTTTTGAAGGAAGAGGAGGAGAGGGAAACCAAATACTGCTCTTACTSGTTGGTCCTTGCTGCATGGGGAGCAGGACTAGGGTGACACGAGGCAATAGTAAGAGCCCATGTAACTGATAACCAGCTCGGCATGCGGGCACAGGGAAGTGTAGCTCCCCAGGCAGCCCAAATTCTGTCATTTCCAGCAAGATGGTTCATCTCCATTGTCTTCATAATGCTCCTCTCCGGTAGTTTTTGACATATTAAATGTGAAATGTTGCCCTCGTAGTCAAGAGTGCCTTCGAGTTTCTGCAAGGAGAAAGCTCTTGCTAAAGAGTTAAGTTGGAATATCTTAAAATACAAGCACAGCAACCTTTGATTGGCACCGAGCACGAGCACGGGTCAGGCACGAGGGAAGGAGCCGCTTCTGCACACCAGGCTGCGGATTGCAGCGGGCTCGTCTAGCTCTGAACTTGCATATTTTTCATACCTTTGAGCATCTTCTACTATCAGCAACCTTTCATTTAGAAAAAAATAAAGCCATATGGCCAAGCACTATCAAATATGCAATATATTTTTAAAAAGCAGCGTGTCGAGTTTATATTTTATCTGCAAAAAGAAAAGTGGATACCTACCTTGGCAAACAAATTAATGGCAATTAGCGATTAATTTGAAGTAATTAGCTTTAAAATGCGATTGAATTATGAGTAAGTGGACCGGGAATAGAAATGGATGGTGTCTTTCTGGGTGTTTTTACGCCGGGTCCTTTGTTTTTACCCCACGTCTTTTGTTTTGCAGCAAACAGAGGAAGCGGAGCGGCAGGCAGCTCACAGACCGGCGATGCGCTGGGGAAAGCACTTGCCTCTGTAAGGAAGCATTTACTTGGGAATCCACGCTTGCTGTTTTGGGAAATGGGAATTTTACTGGGAATTGGGGGTCTGGAGTGGGAGAGGACGAGCAGCAAAGGGGAGGGAGGTGCGCTCCGAGGTCGCCCGCTCTGAGCTGCTGCCGCCTGAGGTGTTTAGCGCTCAGTGGAAACGGTGCTTGGAAAGTTTAGACCTGATTTTGTGGCAGAATAGAAAGGAGCAGAGTGGAAATACTAGGCTGCTCACCGAGCGGCAGGGAGGGAGGTCTTTGGGTCTCACACGTTCCATCCATCCACCAAGATGAGGGAGGTTTGGAAAAAAAAAAAAAACCCACAAATCATGATTATTTTTGTGCTACTGAGCGATGTGCAAATGAGGAGTCGTTCTGGCTTTCCCTGGCCTCCCGACGTGGTGTTTTTCATGGCAGGTTCCACCTCCGCGGTCGCTGCTGCACAGCCCGGGGTTGCCAGCGCTGCCGATGCAGGGGACGCCCGTGTCCCCTGTCCCCGCGGGCAGCGCCGGGCTTTGCAGCAGGACCGCTGCAGTTATTTTCTGGGCAGAGTGGGTTCCATTGAGTTCTCATGAGAGTCAATTTTTCTTTTTGCATATTCTTCCAATGCATCCTTTTTTTAAAAAAAAAAAAAAAAAAAATATATATATATATATATAAAATAAAAAGCAAGGCTATCCATGCGGCCTGAAGTGCCTGATACAGTACAGATCCACCCTTGGTGGTGCCCTGACGGACAGGCTCACGCGCCAGCCCCTTCGCTTCGTTTGGGCTGATAAGGGATCTCAGAGTAACAAAGCGAAACCAAAAAAGAAAAAAGAAAWAAAAAGCCCTAAACAAGCGATTTTGCAAAGCGCTCCAAGGCTTTGTGCGATGACGCTCATCCGTAAAGCGGTTTCTGGAATAAAAACGCGCCCGCGTGCCAACCCGTGGCTTAATTGGCTGGCGTCTGTCTCCATCGAGATGTCTCAGTCAAAGGATCCTGTTGTCTGGCTTCCTGCATCTAATACCATGTTGTCTTTATAAAGAGAAATAGTAATATTTGAATAAGAGGCTTTTTAACCTGTCCTGCTTTCATTTAAATGAACTGAATGCGTAAGAATTCCATATTTCTTTCTGCATCAGTTTGTGATGGCTCTAGATTAATTCTTTATCATCTTTTAAAGATCTATTCTCCAGATCACACCAACAACAGCTTTTCATCAAATCCTTCAACTCCTGTTGGTTCTCCCCCTTCTCTCTCAGGTATTGTGGTTACAATTCTATTTTACTGAACGTTTCAACCTATTTTTTGGTAGGAGATGCTTTAGGTGAGCTCCTACGGTAGCGGCTGCGAGACGAGCACCCAGCCAGCAGCACCAGGCTGCTCCCTTACGGCTGCAAAGCACGTGCAGGGGCTCGTGGCTCTTGCAGAGATGTTGTCCCAAAGCCGAGGCCACGCCACGTGCTTGGATGTCTTCTCTTGGGCAAAGGCCAGGCAGAATTCGTAGCCAAAAAAAGAACGTGTCTCCGGACCAGCCGAGTCCCTGTGAACCTAATTAATCTCTTGCGTCCTTGGTTTATTATGAGGGCACGTTGACCCAAACCCAGCCCAGTTGGGTTGGAAGGCCAAGCTGGAAGGAGGCAGAGGCCCAGGGTTGCTCTCATGAGCACGGAGCACTTTGAAGGCTTATCTAGGCAGGTTGAGGTTTGCCGGGTTTCTCCAGCACACCTCCCCTCCTTGAGAGCAGGGCTGTGTTGGGAGGTGGCCAAGCCTCCTGAGATGCCCTGCTCTTTGCCTAGGACCCCCCGGATCGCATTAAACACCCTTGGGAATCCCCAAGGACAACCAAGGTGGTGCCCCCGTAGGGCAATGCCATTGGTTCGTGGCAGAGGCAGGATGTCCCCACGTCTCCTGAGAGAGGCAACCAGTGCAAGTGGTGTGGAACAACCTCCAAAGGAACACAGACCTAATCACAGTCTCAAAGCAGGGAGAGCTTTTTGGAAGGACTGGTGGGAGTGAAGCAAGCTGGCAGCATATGAAGGCAGTCTGGAAGGAGGAAAGAAAGCTAGAAGATTGCCCAGGCCCTGTGGGAAGAGGTCCAGGAAGGAGGGCCACCACGCGTAGGTCCCGCACGGCCACCTTGCTGAGCAGGAGCTTGGCGGTGCTTAAATTAACTCAGCTGGYATCTCCGCCGCCCCCAGAGCCATGCCCGGCACGGGGTCCGTGCTGCGGGAAGCCACCTTCTGCCATAAACGTTGTCTGAAATAAGTCCCCAGCCTCAAGGGAGGTCCGGGCACCCCGAGCCAGGGGTTGCCATCGATCCCGGGCAGAGGATCCAAGCGGAGAGAAAACTGCATGCTCGGTGACTGGGCTGCGTGGCTTCCTGCAGGTTTTACTTTGAAATTAGTTAAAAAAACCTAGTAGCTAGTGTCCAAAGAARTGAAAATGAGGAATCTTAAGTCCTTTAGACAAAGGACTGATGGYGCTGAGCGTGCAAGGCGCTTTTCCCTCACGGACAGCGGAGGCTGGTTAGAAATTATTTCCAAAGAAAGGATTGCTTTTCACTGCTCCAGCCAGTGTTACACAAAATCCAGAGGAAAATAAGAATTAAAATCCATGGAGACTAGAAAAGAGAAGATTTAAGTTTTAATTAGCATTAACAGAATTTTGCCTTCCATGAGAAAAAAAAAATCACACGCTGAGCCTAAAAAAAGCCTGCCGTGAGCTCCACCCCGGCCTGCCTCCGTCCAAGTGAATGCCGCTCAACTCAGAGGTTAACATTAAAATCTGAATATTTCCATCTCAAATTCTTAACCTTGCTCTGTAAGATCAGCCAGAAGATCATTAATTTAGAAAAAAAAAAAAAAAAAAGGAAAAAAGAAGCACTCTAAATTGTCTCATCACTGTGCTATAAATATAAGCCGTTGGGAAAATCCTTGCCAAGCCATCTTTGCCCGTGTTTGCTTTGCTCCTCCACGAGGGCAAGTCTCTCTCATTAGAAAACGCTGCTGACGACCGGGAGAGCTTTCATTCCCGCACGCAGCAGGAATAGCTCAGGAGCAGCGGATGCGGACCAGGGTTTTCCTGCTGGACCCTGGGCACCCTCAGCCACCCGCGGAGCGCGCAGCCCCTGTGGGTGCAGCCCCGTGCCACGTGCCTGGCTTCGGCTCATCCTTTTTCCTCATTTRTTTTTTCTTCTTTAGATTTTGCGAGTGTGGGTGGTACCGCACGTGGAGCCGGGCTGGGGCCCTGCTCAGAGGGGCTCCTCGTGGCCCGGGGCCTCGCGCGGGTCTGGCTGCTCCATCGGTGCTCCCTGTGCTCCGCAGCCGCCGGGGGCTCCGTGCGCAGCGTCTACACGCTGTGCTACCACATTCCTTTATTTTTTTTTTTTTTAATTTTCTTTTTTCGCCCATGTATATTTTGGAAGTTCTCCATATGTCTGCTCTATTGTCTATCTGGAATAGGGCATTTACATGTCTACAAAACTGTCCAAAAAAGTTTGAAAGACCTTTCTGTTTGCACAGTTCTAATGGTAACTCCCATTTTACTATTAGCAGGCACAGCTGTTTGGTCTAGAAATGGAGGTCAAGCGTCATCATCTCCCAATTATGAAGGTCCCTTACACTCTTTGGTATGTTTTGATTAGCGACCTCCTCTGCCTCAGTGTTTTATTGCTGTTCTTTCCATTTCTCATCCGTTCTTCTCACACAGGTTTTCATTTTGYTAGTGGCCGCTCTGCCCTGCATCCCGGCGCGCGGGATGGGGTGAGCGGGGCAGCACAGGCGATGGACAAGTTGGTTGAGCAGTGAGAGGAGCGAGAAGCTCTGCGTTTGTCTCGTGTGGAGGCACCACRGGATGGTCTTGGTCCAGTGGTGCATCGTCCTGGGCGAGCAAGGAGTTGGTGCTAGTGCAATGCTGGGGATCGTGGTGGTATTGATGCAGTTTGTTGGCTTTCCTTAACRGAAAGATGCTCTAAGCATTGAAGCTGGTCAGAAGCACGTTAGGCCCAGCTTGCTGGGACRTTGTTTTGAGGAATCCAGTATCCTCTGTCTTGGTCTTCTCTKCTCGTTGTTTGTCCAGGAATGTCAAGGAACGAGTTTAAAACACCCGGCATTTTGTCAGGGGTGAAATAAAGAGGAGGAGGAGGCTCGGAGGTGACCTTGTCACTCTCTGCAGCTGTCTGAAAGGAGGTGGTAGCGAGTCGGGGGTCAATCTCTTCTCCAGAATAACTAGCAACAGGACAGGAGGAAACGGCCTCAAGTTGCGCCAGGGGAGGTTCAGGGTGGACATTAGGAAGAACTTCTACATGGAAGGACTAGTCAAGCACTGGAACAGGGTGCCCAGGGACGTGGTGGAGTCCCCATCCCTGGCAGTGCTGAAGCAGTGTGTAGATGAGGCACATAGGGACATGGCTTAGCACGGATGGTGGGGGTGGGATTCCAGTTGGACCCAAAGACCTTGAAGGTCTTTTCCAACCATAGTGATTCTATCAATCAAGAGCATTGAGGTCACCAAGTTGCTTCAGAGTGGAGAGGAGAGCAAGGAGGTGGTGTCGGAGCTCAGCCTCCCACCGCGGGCGAAGCTCCGGTGACTCCCGTTGGGTGCTGCCCCGGGAAGGACATTACACGGAGCAGGTTTTCCACCCCACAGAGGACTTCTGGGAGGGACCGTGCTGGTTCCTGCCGCCTGCCTGGTGGAAGGGCTTTTTTGGTTGTTAGGTGGCTTTTGGAGAGCAGTGGTTTTGCTAAGAGATGTGGTGAAGAGCTCCCTAGATTGCAACTAGCTGTTTGTCGTGACCACACCAAAATAACCTATTTTGGTTATTTTAACTTAAAATTTACTTTAGTCTACTTTAATCTACAGTTACCCAAAATCACCTGTTTTATAGGTGATTCAAGGCGGCCCTCTTTTCCTCTCCCTTCTCTCGGGCAGGTTTGGGGCGAGACAGACCATGTCCCTGGGGTGGCACAGGGACACGGGGACCCGTCCTGCCCCGCATGGAGCTCCTGGGCTCCCCATGTGGAGGGCAGTGGTGGAGGGAGCGCGGGCAGGACTGCTCTGTGCACGGCCCCGCAGAGCCCAGGGTGGACTTAAGGAGGTGCATTTACTACTGCTTTTACCAGAGGTGCATGGAAGGTGTCCGGGGGATGCCTGTCTGCAGGGACAGGCAGCAGCAAGGCGTGATGGAGCTTGCAAGCTGGTGGTGCCTCTTTTCCTCTTTGTGCCTTAGATAGGGGGAGGAAAACCCCAACCCCCCTGCCAGGGACTGCTTAAAATCCAGAGGCATGTTTGGTTCTTTGCTTCTTCTCCTTTTTTATTTCTATTTCTTTTTTTTTTTTTTT